AAGCTCGATAATGAAATTATTGTACAACGATATCAAAGTATGAAAACTCGCAAGGAACAAGTGTAGTATATCAGTTATGTCGTTTTTAGTATTCTCGTATTATTGTTTTATATTTTTATCATCATTTAATCCATGATCAAAAACTCAACGACGTTTGGCGTCGAAGAAAAAATGCCAGCACTGAATATAAATCCTGGCTCCGTCCCTGGATTGAGGGGACATGATAAAGAAGGATATGGCTGTCTTGGAGTCCATTCAAAGAAGGATATCTTTTGAGTGGCTCAAATGATTGCAAAATTTGCTTGTGGGATGTTTCTGCAATGCCTCAAGACAAAATCCTTGAAGCAAATAATGTCTATAGGGTTCCCACTGATTTTTTCCTCTCAATATTTTATCATTGAGATATTTCTGTTGATATTGGAAGCTCGTAAGTTAGGCTGTGAATTTGGTTATTAACTTTCTGGTTTTTATGACTGTTGCTTCATGGCCATGAAAGTGTGGTTGAGGATGTATCATGGCATCTGAAAAATGAAAATTTATTTGGTTCCGTGGGTGATGATTGCAAACTAATGATTGGGGACTTGCGCACAAACATGCCCCAGCATTCTATTGTTGTGCATGAGAAAGAGGTAAAGAAGTAACTGCTGTATTTTCTTTTCCGTTGAATTTTTGGATTCTTACCACATTAACTTTTCTTAATATATATCAAGTTATAGAGCTCAGACAAACTCCATTTTATTTGTCCATCAAGTCTGACTCACATTTGTTGATTGATTACATGAACTCCTACTCGTGTCCAACACTTATTTTCCCTTCACTTTGATATTATCAAATTTATTGTTGCATTTACAAAGTATGTTCAATTGACTGAGTGAATACAAGACAAAGGAACGAAGGTAACTAATAAAAACTCAAAATGTTAGTCCATCTTCTCGAATGGCAAATTTGTTTTTATTTATAAGGATGTTGCAATGGTGTAGTGAGTGAGTGGGTGCATGATCAAAATGGAAAGTCTTGTAGATATCCAATCATTGGTACATTATTTTAGAATCCAGTTTTTTCATTTCGGTAAGTTTTCAATACAGCGTTCGAGGTAACTAAGCTGAGATGAGATGCAGGTTATTTCGGATTAGTTCATGAAAGATTGTACTCTGATTGAGCTCAACTGACCTAAATCTGAAAATTGAAGATAAGATTTGATATAACAAATGCTAGTTTATATGGTGTGGCTTCTTATTATATTGACAATAGTTTTTATCATCTGATGCTTTCTATGCTGTTTTTATGTTCATATTGCCTTTATAATCTATTCTTAATTAGTCATGACACCATTTTTTTAAAATTTTTTTTCTATTTTCAGGTGAACTATTTATCATTCAATCCATTCAATGAGTAGGTTCTGGCTACAGCATCCTCTGATACCACCATTGGTCTGTTCGATCTGCGTAACCTCAGTTCACCACTCCATGCTCTTAGTAGTCATATGTATGTCTTTTAACTTGGATTGAACCTCTTAAGTCTACTTTCTACAAAGCTCATGATGTGTTTCTTGGACTCCCTAACCTGGGGACACATTTATTTGCTCTGTTCTTGACTAAGTGCTGTTTTTTTTAACGGTTATCGTGCTCTAGGTTTCATAATGGAAAGCAATTGGGATGGTTGACATATGAATACGAATCTACTGATATGTGTTGGAACTTTTGATCCTTGATGAGACACTGCTATTTCATGTATTGGGCCTCAATATTTTACCAAATTAGTTGCTCTGTGGGGTTTTCCAATGAAAATTATGGAATTTCGTTAATAAAATTGTTGGGCACACAAAATCAGATTATTGATTTTACATGGAACTTCACTTTTATTGTTAGAGTGGCAAAAAATACTCGTGCAGACGACCCTAACTTTATTGGAAATAAGGGTTAATGAACCAATAAATATTCTGTTGTTCTTCCAATGGTTGTATGACATCAAATTATGAAAAGTGTGGTTGACTGTCCACAATTTCCCTATTTTACACAGGGAGGAGGTATTCCAGGTAGAGTGGGATCCTAACCATGAAACTGTGCTGGCGTCCTCCGCTGATGACAGAAGGTTGATGGTTTGGGACCTTAACAGGTACTTGAAGCTAAACATTATATATTATGCTCTCATCGTTGCTTCAAGTTCCATCAAGTTGTTGCGGGAATTATTGGTGAACAAGGGAATTTAAGTCTCGTGAAGGATAACGGATTATGGTTTTGGAAGTGAATAACATAGTTATGATCCTTCCCACCATTGATCTTATTTATGTGTGCCGGAAATCTCTGACATCTCTTTTCAGGGTTGGAGATGAACAGTTGGAAGGTGAAGCTGAAGATGGTCCTCCTGAGCTCCTCTTCTCTCATGGTGGTCACAAAGCAAAGATTTCTGACTTTTCATGGAACCAGAATGAGCCATGGGTCATTTCAAGTGTAGCAGAGGACAATACTCTACAGGTCTGGCAAATGTCGGAGAGTATTTATCGTGATGAGGATGATATCCAAAGTGCTAATTGTATGTAATTTTTCTTGTTAAAGACGAGTTATAGGATGAGACGGGACTCCCCACAAAATTTCTTTTGGGTTTTTTTGGT